CTAATGAAAATAAACAAAATCATTAACAAAAATGACTTGTATAATCTACTTTGATAATAATTCCAATATAGATTTAGCACCCTTAGCATTAAAAATATAGTATTACTTTAATAATTTATCTTTATAATTTTAATCTAGATTTAACGCCCTTAGCATTAAAAAATAGTATGTGCATCTCGGGCAGCAATTGCTGATTCCCGACGAGTGTGAGTTTTAGCCCCGAGCGAAGCGAGGGAGCTAAATTCACACAAGTCGGGAATCAGCAATTTTGCGCCCTTGATGCACAATGTACTATTGAAAAATTCCATTATAATACATAAAATTAAAATATAAATTATTTTTTTAAATTAAAAAAAAAAAATGGTACCTCGTTTTATATAAGCATTTGGATTTTCTTCCTGCTTTTTTTCATTTTTTTTTCCTACGATATTATTTTGATCCAGATCATCTGGGTGGTTTGAACGGCCAGCGTCTGGATTAATTTTTATGTTTTGCATTTTACATGGCATTTCTGCCATTGTCAATTTTTCAGAGATATTATTGATGAATTTTATTATTACCTTGGGGGGAAGGAGATCATTCAAATGCTCCGTCATCAGTGCTTTAGTTTCTGAAAATAATCATATTATACATCATAAAAATATCCTTAATTTATCAATATTACTCATTAGTTGTAATATTAATGTATTCAAGAATATTTTTATGATATATATACGATTATTATTAACATTTATACTTTCTATGTCCATATTTCTCAACGTCCTTTAAGCGTCCTTTTTAGCGTTTTTTTCAGGTTAAACATTCGTGAAGTATGCGCATAACAGTCGATGACTATGAGCGCATATACAGCCGTATATAAAACTTATATTTGGAAATATATCAAATATTAGTATTATACACTGCCGTAGTAGCTGAGTGTTATGCGCATACCCCATGGAATGCTTAACCTGATAAAGATGCAAATAAACGGTATTTTCAAATGAAGAGAACTTTAATGGGAAGTTCGTCGTGTGGGCACAGTGTGTTCAGACCCATTTTCTATAAAATGAAATTAGTCCGGAGTCGATATCCTCAGTGGTTTTCGAGATATCGAAAACGAAAAAAAACCTGTCATACGTACGTACAATTATACGTACGGACAATTGTACGTACGTACATAAATATATTTTTAAATTCTGTTGTTATTAAATAATTTTTTTTTTCATCTCAAATAATTGGTATCGTTCAAAGAACTTCAGGGTCGCTTCAGAAAGTTGAATTCGATTCAATTAGTCTGTTTATAATAAAAAAATATCGACAAATACAGTAAATTGGAAAGGAATGAGTTCTATTTATACACAAAAAAAAGAGTGTAGTAATTATTTCAGTTGATTAAGTAGCAAAGTAATTTGTAAGAAAAACTTTACTCTCTAAAAAAGAATCAGTGAATATTCACTATTTGCAATGATTTTTATTGATTCATTTTTATATTATAAGATAGAAAAAATTAATGATAATTTTTTCTATCTTATAATTTTACGTATAAAGTGATATTCTATTACTCTTACAATAATACTTACAAGTTTATTTTCTTGTGTAGTAATTGTAGATTAAACATGAACAAATATGTATTTTTTGGAGTAAATGAAACACACTTATAAAAGAATTAAACGTAAGCTGTTAATTACTAATTGTTTTTTTCTTTGACTTTCATAGAGTACTCTTTGATTAACCTCGGCCAGATCAAGGTTCGTTCAGTGTTATCTCAGATCAGAACTAGACTTTGATATTTTCGGAGCAAAAAAGGTCACTTCTCGAAAATTTGACATAGGTTCAGGTCTTTACCACTTTCGTGATAACTTTAGCCTACCCGAAAAGTATTCAAAGCTGTCAAAGCAAACTTTACTAAGTGTTGCATTAGATTCAGTGGCGATCAAACTCAGATAATTCTTTTTACTGTGCAAATTAATGAATGAAGAGCGCTTTCTTCATCGGATAGAAAAGTAGAGGATTAGAAATGTTAACTAGTTGTGTCGAGAAATTTAGATATTACTTTATTTTTTGTTTTATAGTTATTTAAATAAGTTATATAGAAGGAGAAACTAATTTAGGCACGTTTTGTTTATAATGAAAAAGAATTTGATCAAAACATTTCTTATTAAGCAAATGTTTAGATACTAAAGAAGGTGTAAGTTTGAATATTTATTTAATATAGTTGAATCACCTATTAGTTGGAATACAACTAAATCTTAACCTTATATATATAATCTTATATATAAGACATAATCGGCTATTAATTTGTCATAAAAATTTGATGATGTTTAGCTTGAAGAAGAGTAGTTCCGCTTTCTACCGCTAAGAGACACATGCCAAAAGCACTCTCGCAACGTTTGTAAACCTGTTAAGCATACATCAAGAGTTCTTTAGCTGCAGAATTATTGGTGCTCGAACAGGGAATTAATTTGGTCACCTCTATTGAATCCTTACCCGAGTACCAATTTATTTACTGAATATTCGTATTCATTTTAAACTTTAGAGATTTGAAAACCCGCCATAAAGGATGTCTGAAGTTGTTCTTACGTAACAACTCTAAGATTTAATCATTCAGAGTCTTAAACTGTAAGCCAGGAGATCTTACAAATAATCCCCATGTTTAAACGTGTTTAACAAATTCATACAATACATCGTTGTAAACAATGTATTTCTGAAACGATATTCAAGATGTAAGCAAATAATGTAGATGAAATCGAATGAGGACTATTGAATAACAATAAAGTTCACTGACAACCATAATTGCATGAGAGGTTTACTAATGACAAAAAAATTTTATCAAACTTAATAGAGAATAATTAATTTTATAACGAAATATCGTACTAGCAGATTAGCATATAATAGTATTTAAAGATTTATCTACTGCCTGGAAATTCATTCTTTATAAGTATTTAAGTAGATAAAGCGCAATGAGGACAAAGAAAGAGAAAATTGAGAAGTTGAAGAAGCTTTGAGTTTGAATTATCGTTTGGCTTTATAAGTATAGATAGAGAGGTCGAATTTAATGTAGTGAAACCATTAAAGGTTATGGCAGCATCAAGAATAGAGGCTGATTTAGATAAAACCTATATTTCTCCGGTGTTCAATAACATATTTTATGTCGTTGTCGTTTAGAGTGCACGTTTATTTTTCATAGCAGTGTAATGAGTGTTCTTGAAAACACTTTTGAGTTGTAGTGAAAATATTTTTACAATCAGACGATGTGTGAAAAACTTCTCACAAGTCATTGAGCACGTCTGTGAAACATTGAATGAAATTCGCAAGCGATATTACGTCTCCTCTCGTCTTGCTTTTTTCTTTTGAAGGTTGTTAAAAAAGATAAAAAAGCAAAGTAAGCAAGAACTTGAAAAGAAGAAAAAATGTTGCTCACCTTTATATCACTCTTTGACAATAGCCAGGCGAGAAAATCAAAAGAGAGCACGTACAGCTATAAAATCTTCATCTTATTTTTATTGTTAAATGTATCTGATGATTTTTTTTTTTTTATATATTCTTAAATTAGACATCACGAGTCGAAGACACTGGAACAATTCAGCTACCAAGAGCAGAAGATAAAAAATAAAATTGAAAAAAATATCATCTCAAGTTACTTTTTCAATAAGTTTCATCTCTATTACTTGAAGATTCTATATAAGATTAAATCTGCCATTATAAGTGAAAATTATAGACGACATATCTGCACAATATTTTTACGATGAAAAAAAATAGATGGTCTCATTGACGACTCTGTCCTAATTATAACCATTTTTCTCTCGTTGCAAAATATTCATTCCAATGCCATTAAAGGATTCATTAATTATGAGAACTATTTTCTACTGATTATTTTAATAAAATCCCAAAATTATTCTAAATATGGAATATTTTATGAAGGATTATGATAATGGAAAATAATGATACAATATCGAATGAATATAATTAATGAGAAAATGATTATAATTTTAATTAATAAATTAAATTCTGGATCCAATTATTATTTAATAAGAAATTTTTTTCATATTAACAGCATAATGAGAATGTTAGTACTGATTAATTTTTAATTATTATTTATTTTAATGGCTGTTCAACTTGATAAATAAAAAAACGAGCAATTGAAGCAATAAATTGCTTAAAAGAAAATATATCTACTTATATTTAAATCTCTTTCCTTCGAAGGAGGTACAAAATAGAACATAATTTATTCGATAATCGATAACGTAATTTTATTCGTAATAAACGAGTTTTCTATTCGCAACTTATCTTAGAAAAGTTTTAATAATTCATCGAATCTGAAACGGTTGATTAAATTTATTAGATAATCAAAGAAATATGAACAGAATTGAAGAATGAGAATATTTATTTTCAGTATTAAAATGAGACGACATAATTTTTGAAATTGTGTGAAATTAAATCAGCTCTTGAAATTACGTCTTGGAAATCATTAAAAACTGAAATATTTCTTGAAGGAGAGAAAAATGTTAAGAGTGATTATTACCTACGTTTTGGTGTGAAGACTAACAGACTTTTGTATCTCCTTAGACAAAGGCGGAATTTAATCTACGATTTTCTTTAGACACACGTTCACATGTCACTGAAGAAAATGAAAGTCTATTGTATTGCTTGCATGATAAGGTAGATTGGAATGATTTAACCGATAAAAATATTAGGTTGGCACGAAAAATGATTACGTCTGAATGAAAATAGAAAAGCAGGAATACAATATTTGTTAAGATTAATTTTAAAATAAATTTTCAATTTAAAGTCAATGACTAGAATAGTAAAACAAACGTATCCTGTTCATAGTTACAAATTCGTCGTGTAAAAGTTTTCAGCCCATTAATTTTCAGATAAATCTGCAAGAGTTTGTGTACCTTCGTGAAACTGTAGAAGAAAAGTTATCCAAGCGTGCTACCCAGTTGCGCTCTGTTGGGCATCTTATAGCAATGTTAGTAGGCAAATTGAGGAATAAAGTAGTTGTGAAAAAGGTCATACACTGAACTATGTATGATGCAGTGAAGTAAGGTAGTAAACTGAGAAAAAAAGAATTAAAATGAGATCTTCTTCTACATGACTTTGCAATCGGATGAAAATTCTCAGTTAAAAATAATAAATTCTCATTTATTTCGAGGATACTCTTAGTTTCTTATAGTCAAAGCAAATTATTAAGTGCAATAATCTTAGCTTGAGTAAAATCAAAGCAATCAAAGTGGAATTAAAAATCAGACAAGTTTACCGCTAAATTTTATCCAGCATTTGATCACTTTTTTATTCTTTTACTTTTCTCATAGTTTTCCGGACTTTTTTGATAAAAAAGTAATAAAAAAATATTGCTTAATGATGCGTAACTAAAATTGAAATGGTTCCCTTTAAACGAGAAAAAAAATTTTGCTCGGATCATTAAAGGTGTCATTATTATACCACGGACTTCAAAGCAGATTAAAAGGTAAGCTATAAAATTCAAATATTTGTTTCTGTGTAGGGAAAAATAGTTTAAATCACTATGTGTGTTGCTAATTTTTTTATGTCAGAAAGTCAAGTGTCAAAAAAATCACTACTAACACAACAAAAATTATGTTCGGGGTTTACCTAAGATCCTACAAAGACCTAATGCGGAAAGCCTAATTTTAGCATAATGCTACAAATCTCTATCATAATAGAGGTCTTACACGGAATAAAGGGAGTATTGTTGAGTAAGATTTGTTCCATAGAATTTGAGTTGTTTCATTAAATTCTCATGAGGTTTGGGTGCGTAAATGTAAAATAGTAATTTGTTCCTTAAATGATGCCTAAATTGTAGTTAATTATTAGAGGAGGAGGAAATCGGATTATGGATCACGTATTGTCTTTACTGAATTGTATTTTACTCAGCCAAATTTTCACCAATTATCATTTCTCGGATTCACTGATGGAAGATACAACGTGTTCACAAAGTAAGCCACTGAACTATATTACAGACTAGACGATAATCCTATCTTTTCCCCTGAGCATTCAAAACATTCTTTATTCATCATAAATAATTTTTAGCATAAAAAATTATGTTTTAGTACTGGATTTGTTTTTAAATTGGCCTTATTTATATTTTAAATTGTTAATAAAAATAGAGAATTTCTTTAAATTACAATCTCTTAATAACTTCAAGTATTCTCTTCAATAATGTCATTAAGAATTTTGTAATTTTCCATTCCCTTTATTTTTTAAAAAATTTTTTCCTGTTAACCATTTTCTTTTTATTCATCATATTTATTATGAAACTTCTTTCTAAGAAGGATTTACATTGAAATGGCGTTTACATGGAAGAAGTGCTTTTGAAGACTTCTTGTAAAAAATCAAATTCTCTATTAAAAATCCCTTCATGATTTTCTCTTTTTATTGTGTTGTATATGGAAGGGATAAAAAGTAAAAAAAAGCATTTTGCAAATCTTTAACAATACTCAAAAAATGTAGAAATGACTTCAGAACAGTAACAATTTTCAGAAATACTTTTTTCATTGGCCTACATAAAAATCTGTCGCCAAAAATATTAAATTCACTGCAAAAATAATGTATAATACGACAGAGCTTAAAATTCTAGCTACTAGACTAGTAAGTATTCCTTTAAAATAGTGTATTATGATCACTAGTATTGCGTCTGAAATGGGAAAAATTTAGGAGAATCTAAGTAAAAAATTATTGTCGAGAGCCTTGAAAAAATATTTCTTTTCATTCACATGAAATCTTTTAGCTTATGTCCTTTAAGTACTCTATAATTTAGTAAGTCTTTAGATTTTATTATTCATGATGAAGCAATCAGTCGATGTCCGTGTGAGGTCACGAGAATGTGTCGATATGATTGTATGTAACCTCTGCATTAACTGTGAGAGCTGACCATTGAGCTGTTTGATTAAATTTTTTTCCCAGTATTTCCAAACTAATAGAGTGCATAAGCTCAAGTCAATTAATAGTTGCTGGTCGGCTGGACGTAATTCAATAAAAGAAAAAGGAAAAAATGAAGATTACTTCGCAATAATTAAATAAAAGTCGTCTACTTGAGAATTGAGTTCTTCAGCGCGTACTTCCTTCAAGCTTGACTTTTTTATTTTCTTTCTCGACTCTCCACGTTTCCGCAAGAATTTCGAGTGGTCTGTGGGTTAGAAGGTTAACGAGTTCGTTCCCAGTCTACCACTACTGCTTTTCCCCTTCAAAAGATTTCTTTCGTCTACTTGCAGATACAATATTAGATCATACTGCAATTGCGTCACAAGCTCTAATAATTCTCGAAAGAGTAGAAAGTGGAAAAATCTTATTAAATTTACCAACTGAACAAGTATTTCATTTGAAATATAAATTATTCTACTATTTCTTATTTCTATTAATAACTTTAAAAATAAATAAATTTTTTTTCTTCGTGTCCGACTTTTTATAACACACCTGTCAAAATGCCCACGGCAAGGTCCAGAGAATATTGGAAAAAAGATCAAAGATGAATGTTTGTATAATGAAATGAAAATTTAAAAAAAAGAATATTCCGTCAGTATACTCGTGGGAGTTTGTTACTATTGAGCATCATTTCCATTAGCGTCGCATATAGCCGGCGGACGCTCTTGAGCTTCCGTGTAATTAAACCGCACGTCGGAAAACCACATCAGAAGCACGTTTTCCATGAGCCACAGATTCCCAATTAACCTCTGTTACAAATGTATAATTACTGTCATTGTTATTATGTCATTCATCCTTCAAATGTGAGAAGCTAAAAGTTTCATGTTCTGAATGATTGTTATCTTTTTTTTTACATTCATTTCCTGTAATGACGTTTCATAGAAGAGAATTTTTAACAAATATAGACATGTGATTTATTTAACATATTAAAAATGTAAATTTAATTTTTTTCATTAATTTATATTTTCACTTTTTGTAAGCAATTCATTATTTCTGTCTTCTCACCAAGGAGTGTCGAATTAATTATTTAATTTTCATTATTTTTAATGACACGAAACTATAGTTTTTTAAGTAAAAATTTTTCTCTATTAAAATTAATCAGGGAATTATTTTTTTTAAAACTTTTGAATCAAAAATAAAGCTAATATAAATTTAAAATAAACTTGTCACATATTAATTTAAATTTTTCTTGTTTTATCAACTTTTAGTTGATTAATGTTTAAACTATTTATTTAAATAATAACTAAATAAATTTGAAAATTAGATAAGTTTGTTGAACCTGTCTAATATAAAACTTTCATGTCCTATCATTCTTTATTACTATTTAACATTTTAAATGTTAACAAATGAATTCAGTGTACATAATAATTTGAAATAATATATATACATATAATAAAAATAAAATAATATATATATATATACAGAGGTAATGTAATATTGTTATGAATGAAAATATTATTAAACCATTTTGTATGCCATGAAAGTATAATTATAACTCTAGATAACATAATGAATTTATTGAAACAAATCTAACTAATGTTGAAACATTAGTCAGTCTGCTTTAAGTTTATATATTATTTGCAATTAATATACTCTCAAAATTGAACAATATTGCACTCTTCATATTATTCTCATTTAACTAACACCTAATACAAGTTGAAACTCTACCATATCTATATTGTAATATTCCACCGACATTGCATTGTAATTTACTGTGTCACAATAAAAAAGAAGTAAAATGGAAATAAATGTACTTTTTATATTTTACACCTCTTCGAATTTTAAAATTACCATAAAAAGTGATGAAAAGTCTCACTAACTAAAATCTAGTTTTTTTTGTCGAATAAAAACAATTACTGTCATTTATATTTTCATTGTTTGAATGCGTGAAAAGTAGTGAGACACTAAATAAATGACAAATTATGAAACAAGAGTATTGTCGATCCTGTTTGGAATACGTATTAACAATTAAAGGAAATAGTATCTCTACTTCTCGCGATTTTGTTTGCGAGGTAAATCTGATTTACATAGAAGCGGGTGAAAGTTTAATGTATCCTTATAGAACGTGGAGTAAGAAAATTCTTTGCGATTCAAATAAGAATTTTCAACGGTCTTTTCTCTTGTTCTAAATTTTTTTTTCAACATTGCTCTAAAAGCATAATACCAATTACACTGAATTCTCTACAGGTATACAATAAATTACATTGACTTGAAATAGTATTGTGCTTATTACTATCGTACAGATAGTCTTTGTATTCAAATTTCATTTTACCCTAGACCTTATTCCACATCTTCCCTTACTCGTTTTATATTTTATATAAGATCAAAGTTACAGCTTTCAGGATCCAACACTACGTACTCGCTTTGAGCTTCGGATATTATGCAAAACGAATCTACATTCATTGTAATATAATAATAATAATATGTTGCGACGTCCAGTTTGTGAAAAGTTAACCATTTTCCCGGTATTTTTTTGAAGTATTTTCAAGCAATGTTTTAATTAGGCACAAAAAGACACAACAGAAGTAAAAAGTATGAAGTTGGAACTTCAAAGTTGTTTCATCATCTTCTTCTGATAAATGTTACTATTCTGATTAGTAAAAATATTATAACAATTTTATCTTTACACATGAATTCTCTCAAAGTGAATCGATGATGGTCCAATGTTTTCCAGTTCAATATCAATCATTGAATTTAAAAGTCGTATACTACTAACACTAGAATGATGAATGGATAACTTCATATTCTCTTTCAAAATAAATCAGTGAAGATCTTTGTCAATAAGTGAATAGTTAATGATTGACAATAATCTTCATGAATTATTTTTAAGGGAAAATATTTGATTATCGATTTTTAGTTTTTAGAACACTAAAATTTATTAGCTGAGCATGATTTTTTTCTTTCAGATTCATAAAATAAAATCACCATGTAGAGTACTGTAAATTTGAAATCTATATCAATGTTCCTTTGCGATATCATAACTTCCCAACTAATAAACCGATTGAGGAACGATTTCTTTTCTTTGGAAACTAGTTTATTTGAGATGGTTCTTAGCTGTGTTTGATGATAATCCTTCCAACCATGTCAGGATCATAAGCTTACCAAATAGTTGGTGGAGAAATCTTGACCAACACTTGAGTGCTTCTCATATAATCTAATATTTATCAGAATAAATATCAATACAAGTATATCATGATAAAGATATTTATAGAAAAAAATAAAAATGGTAATTTCATAATATCGAAGAGAACAAAAAAAACTGGTCTATTTCCACTTACTAATAACATGAATAAATTATTCTTGTAGGCAAGAAAAGAAATAAAAAATCAAGTCGAAGAGGATTATCTAAAGATTTCGCTTCTAATCAAGATATCATCACTTTTATATTCTTTAATCTCACTTCAATGTGATAATGTCAGAACTTTCTTTCATGGTTCAGACTACAATGCCTTAGGCTACATTATTTTTCAAATTAATATAAAAAATTTCTACTTGTTATTTAAGTCTTTTCTTTGGATATACTATTGT